GATTCTCATGGCTCGCTACTAGTAAGCAAATGGTAGGGATTTTTCAAAACTGACAGTCACTTTGGCAAGACAGTTTTCAAGGATCTAATTAAACCATTGGCTCCGTGTTCCCAGTTGCAGAGTAGCACAAAAGCACTGAGGAAGTAAAGGTAAAGGAAGTTCCTGTGTTTCAGGGCTACATCCATGACTGGGAGGGGCACTGTCATGCTTGCCGGCTTCTGCTCTTGCTATTCTTTCCCCCCGCATTATGTTGAGTAGCTGAACGATTGTTGCATTTTTTAGTTGTTAGTTTCCAGTGATGGGAATCAACAGAGCCATTCCCTTTCCTATTCCTTTCTTCCTAAATGGTAGGATTAAGGAGCAATGAACACATCTTTTACACTTCTATGCATGCCTTCATATTTCCAATTTTTTAGGGCCGGAGGTCCCTGCTCAAAGCTGCACCGTGTTTGTATTTCTGCAAGCCAGCGCATTTATAAATTTCAGAGAATTTTAAACACAATTAGGTTGAAGAAATGGCCTCTGATGGCTTCTACTACTTGCTTGCTGCACTGTGCGTTCTGAAATCAGAATAGCCTGCTAGGCTGCATATTATCAGTGCTGTCTTCTGTGTAACTGGCAATGTGCAAGGCAGGGTTACGCAAAATAATGGATATACTAGACTGACATGTCAGGTCCTATTTTATTATAGGAGACCGTAACTTCAGTCACAGGGCAGGTTTCAGAAAGATTAAAATTGCCAGGCCACTAATGTCTTTTAACCCTTAGCATTTAGACTAGCAGCAAAATGAATGCTTAGCAGGATATTTATATATACCTGCACTCATTCCAGTGTAGCCCGGTGTGCAAAACTGATAGCCTCAGAAACATCACAGATGGAAAAGACCTGTTAAATCAGGCTATCCATCTCCTGGGAGGTGAATGATACACCACTGCTCCCTTCGGAATATTTTTGGTACATAGCCAATCTAGTTTTAAACAGCCCAAGAGATTGGGCTTTCCGTATTGTTATACTATCTAATCCTGCTCAATATTGGGAAGCCGCACATAACATACAGCCTAAATTTCCCATGAATTTTGAAGTTATTTATTGCAAAATGTGATTCTGAGAGTGTCTGAGCTAAAGCTGGGGACAAAAAAAAGCGAGGGGGCAAAATAGCCAAAAGCCTAGCAGTCGTTCAGTTGGGATGTGAGAGATCAAGTCCCTCATCTGCCATTTTTCCAACTCCCAGATGGGAGGGCTCTGAACATCAGGTTATTGTCTCTACATCTTCCCTGCTGGAGCTGGCCTACACTGTATAACTATTTAAGTATTCAGTGGACCAGGGACCTGAAACCAGACATTTCACATCCCAAGTGAATGCTCTGGCCACCGGGCACCAGGGAGCCTCTGGCTGGCTGCTGCACTCAGCCGCTGCTGATCCATTTTTGTCTAGACACGCACCACAGGTGGGAATCTCAAAGCTACATCAGGAAATGAATGACCCAGTCCTATGGGAAACATCCAGTTCTATAAGGCTTGGGTATCCAAAGCCATAGCCCCCCTTATAAAGCCTCTGCTTCAATTCTCCTTCCCTCCCTAGACTATAATATATGACAGGCAGAGCAACTTCTGCATCGTGCTGCTTCAACATGTAAGCACAGAGGGTGCCGCTTTGCCCTGTGCAGAGAGCTGGCAAGACCACTACTCCCTGCTCAGCCACTGGGATAATACTAGCTCTCATCACAGAGGTGAATTTTACCCAAAGCATTTAACAGACCACAACATTTGCCATTTCCTAGCACTGTGACCTAGTGGCTGTTTATCGGCTTAACCATAAGACACAGACAAACCATCAAGGGCTTGCATTGCAATCATTGCACTGAGAGGCAAAAGAAGAACACTGATGCTACAATGATGACTTAAGTATTAAGAACAGGTTAGACGCACAGAAACACTTGGGAAACATGGTGGGCAGAGTTGGGAGGGAAGGGAGGCTTCTGGCAGTACCTAGTACAAGCTACAACCCCTCTTACAGTGTAAAAGTCAGTCCTAACCACTCGGCTATTACAGTGGCATTTAAAGTAAAATTGGCCAAAGGACTTTGTTGCAGCTATCTCCAGAGAAACCCGTCCATCTTGAAATCAGAACGCTTCATCACTTGGGAAATGTGCCTTTTAGAAAAACTCCCCGCACAAAAACCTTCCAAACATGTTGGAATGCCCCATTTCATATTCTTGGAATGAAGCTTTTCAATCCTTCATTTGTAAAATAGATTACATTTCATTTCTCTAAAACATTGCATCATCTTCTATGTTGGAACAGTCACAGTCAAAACCGAAACATTTCAATTGATCAAAAACAAATTGTTTTCGACTTTTCTTGTTTAGAGAACTTGGAAATGCCCAGGGTCCATTTCAATTTGAAACAAAGCCAAATTCTGAAATCTCCAAATCTGTCACACAATGGACCTGTTCTCTTCCAGCCAGCTCCGCTTTCAAGTTATCACCATTCATTGGACCATACAGGCTTTGATATCAGGTTTTAGGCCCTTATTTCTAAAGGTAAAAAACAATTTTTGGATGCATTTGTTCTCTTTTAGACTGAAAGGGTTTATAATACTTACTGTTAAACCAATTTTCAAGCGTAGTAGCAATTTCTGTATGCCTCTGAAGCTATATCCTTTTAAAATCACAAGTACACAAATAACTAGGAAAGTGTGGCTGAACAATTACCTGTCAGACAGGCCATTTGAATTCCCAATAGCTAACAGCATAGAGATTAGTCAGTCTGCCCAAATAGTAGGATGCCCTACTAGTACTCGTTCTGTAACCACACCTTCCTGGCATTAAACAGATCAGGCAGCAGACAGCACTCCTCCAAAGCAGTTCATATATCCCACCCGTCTGAGTAGAAGACAATTGGGTTCAGCACTTGAAAGATTTGAACGCTACCAAATCTGTTTCTGCACTCACTCTTGCCAACATCACCCCACTGATTTCCCCTGAATTCCACCTGCTACACCCCAGCACAAGTGATTCAAGGCTTAAGCCCAATATTTCAGCATTTTCAGAGATTAAAATGCATTTGCAGCCTTGTGCTGTTGTTGCAATTCCAATTTCTAAGAGGTTGAGATAACGTGAGCTACAAAAGTTAGGGTTTGCATTAATACAAAGGCAAGGAATAGAAATCGCCTTTCATCTCAAGTCAGAGCACTGGGGCTTTGGATTGTGTTTTAGAAGAAGGTGCCAAGCTCTGTTGCCGGCATCTATAGAGCGCGCTTTAGTTGCTGACTGTGTTGTATCTGTCTGACATTTGTTACAGAGGCCAGTGAACTACTTGCTATTAGGGAAGTGTCTTTTCTCGTGAAGGCAGCGGGCCTGATGTTCCTTCAGCCTACGAGCTGAAGCTCGTCGCTAGAGCATACTCCAAAAGAAAACACAGCACAAAGCACAGCCGATCGCTCAAGTTGAGACTATGACATATCCCCCCAGGCCTAAGAGAAGTGACATCACTCCTTGGTAGGGGATAATAGATTGAAATTAGCCCTTTGCACCATTCTTCCATAGCACTGTCACCAGCGCAATCCCAGCGTAAGCTGTTGGCACGGCTTCAGTGACAAGCTTGAAACTAGAGCAGCCACTGGGGACCACCTCAGTTGCGTGTAGTGCACAGCTACTGGCCGCTGAAGCCTCATGGTTAATCTTCCGATGTGTCATCAGCACTCGCGGTTCAATACGGCGCGGCCCGGCATTTCCCAGCTCTCCTACTCTTCTACAGAGGTTCTGACACTGAGCTCATCACTATCATTTAAGTGCCTGAGAAGCAACCAAGTAAAACAGAACGATGCTGCACTGCAAATGACAGGGTTGGCTTCTTCTAAATTCTGCAACTCCTAGATCGGGTTGAAGAAAAATTATTTTCCTTATGTTGATAATGGCAGGGGGAGGGGTTGGGGCTTCTTAAGCAGAAAATATTATCACTTTAATAAGGCTTACAGGCCATCTGGGTGAGGCATTTAGGTCTGGATCCAGAAAGATTCAATTAATTTCCATAGGAACTAGGTCCCTAAAAGCGTTTCTGAATTCGGGCCTTAGTAATGTTACAGGAGGCTTGTAATGACATCAGGTCATGTCGAGGCGCTCTGCAAATTCCAGCTCATACGGTAATTTGCAGTTGCTCTTATTGGCACATGAGTGGCTCTCAAATCTACTATTTTAAACTCCCTTGAAGATGCTCAAAGAAAAAGCTTCAAGCAGCAGCTGCCCTTTCCCTGCAGAGGCTATTTTTCATACTGTTCATTCAATATTTGTCTGGGTAAAAGAGGAAAGGAGACAATGTATTACTAGAGAGAATCAAACTAGTGATAATGTTGGAATTTCTTCTAGGAGGCAGAAATTGTAAGAAGGCTCCAGCCAGTTAATTTATACTTGAGAAAGTAAATTTTAAACCAACAGAAATCAACAGTAAACAAGGGACCAAAAAGGAATATAAATACATGCATACACCCACATCTATACACATATACACACACCCACATATACACACACCCAATTTATATACACATATCCACATACACATATCCATTATATATGTATACGTGTGTGTGTGTGTGTGTGTGTGTGTGTGTGTGTGTGTGTGTGTATATAGGTATATGTATGTATGTATGTATGTATACATATATACATATATATATATATATACACATACATATATACACACACACCCCCCCCTTTTTGGTCCCTTGTTTACTGTTGATTTCTGTTAGTTTAAAAATCACTTAAAATACACACACACACACACACACACACATATATACACATATTCATACATATATATATTCTTTTTTGGTCCCCTGTCATATGCATACATATATATATATATATATATATGTATATATATGTATATATTTGTATACACACACATATATATTTGGTCCCCTGTTATATGCATATATAAATGCATCCCACAAACAGCCACTTTGCCTGTAAATGACCAAGGGAATTTAGACTGGACTTACCTCAATGTGAACTGATCCTCCGTTGAGTTTTTAGCAATGGATACAAGGAAAGTCAGAATATCACCTTGTTTGACAGTCTTTGGTATGTATTGGATAGCGATGTTATTATCCAACCTCATTTCGCTTAATGAAGGGCCAACATGTGCCTGGTAAAGGAAAACACTTCCAATCCTTTGCAAGGGAGGTCCTGACTCATCAATGTCATTGCGCCCTGGTCTGATTCCATTACTTTTCCTCGTGTCCTCCTTAGTGCACTCCCCTTTCTCATCACCCGGCTGGATGGCGTAATACAGTTCCACAGGGCTTCCTTCAGACTGATCCATTATTTTCTTGCGGCCGGCAACCACCGTGGGAGGGTTAAACCAGGCCGGCAGAAGCTCCAGCTCTGCCACGCACAATCCCAGATCCCCCTTCAGCCTGCAGCTGCTTCTGACTTCCCGGGTCTCTCGAAAGGCAAACACCCGCAGGCAAGGCAGCCGCTCTGTGGTACTGTAATCATCCCAGTCCCTGCCCAGGATGTAGAAGAGGACTTGAACTTTGGGCTTGCTTAGGTAAATTTTGTTGTTCATGATGTAGGCTTTAAGTTTCCAGTTAAAGGAAAATTTGTTGGTGGATACAAATGGATTTGAAGATGACATTAGGTCCTGGGGCACTACTTGTTCAATGGAGAAAGGTCCATAGCTGGCATTTAATACAGGTGGCCTCTTGGATTTATAGATAAAGAAGGACTCCACCCGGGATTGCAAACTAGAGTTCCTCATGATATCCTGGTTGGCTTCCTTAAGAAAGAAGGAAATGTCTGCATTGTGGATATGATAATTCACGGGCAAATAAGTCGGCAGCAAGGAAAATCTCTGTATGCTCTCCAGGATCCCTCGAGTCTCTGTCACTGTTAAAAGAAAAGGAGACTTTAGAAGCTCCAAGTTGAAAACATTCAGCATCTGGAAGCCATCGAAACCCCATCCCCTTCATACAATCACAAGGACGATGTAGTTCTCACGACAGCCTATGCTGTTCGGAAAAATCAGAGGGCAATTTATGGACCTGACTTTGGGGGAGAAGGGCTGTTTTTTGGGTTTCTTGCCTCATGCTTCATGAGTTCTGATAAATTGGGTAGATAGAAATATCTTAGGGTACATCCACATGGTATAATGCAGTGCCGTATTGAGATAGCTCAGGTACCCCAAGTAGCATAGCTCCACTAAGGCAATGCTCCAGGGTAGGCTGCTGCACTACCACAGCTATACTGCTTCTGGTACCCCGCCTAGCTTGAATATCTCTGCACAACCATGTAGATGTACCCTGACAGTCACCTGGAGACCCCCCTGCTGAATAAAGTACTAGTAAGAGCACTTTGTGGCACTGATCAAGACAGGGCCCCATTATACAAGGTATGCAAACAAGGTAAAAGGAGTGTTGCCTCCAAGATTTAATACTTAAGACCAGGAAAATCAGACACAGGTAAAGTGGTTTTCCAAAGGACACACAGCAACTTATGAGTGCAATTAATAACAATGCCAGAAAACAGTCCAGTGATTTATCCGCTGGTCCACACTGCCTGTTCTAGTTGCAAACATGCACTTACATTTAAATGTGCATTCATTCATTGCCAGGGACTGAAACCATTTGTTCATGTCTATCAAGCTAGCAGTTGCCTTCCAGTACCCATCATTACAGTAACCAAGGGCTGACTTTCCAAGGATGTCCAGGAGTGGCCTAGCTCCTCTCACCTCCAAGCCTGTGGATACAGCACAAGCCCTCTCCCTCCAACAGGACATCTGACTATCCAGTGAACGGACCTTCCTCTGGGGTGACAACCGCCCTACTGCAAAAAGCTGAATTGCTAAAGCATCATTTTAGTCCTTCGGTTAGACCTTATCCTGGCTCTATGCACTATTTCTTAGCAGCAAGCCATTGTCATTGAAAACCCATTGCCACTACACCTAGAATTTGATTTTTATTTTTTTTTAAAGAATGGCATGGGATTGTTCCCCTGCATGATATCATGCACTAGAAAACCATCCAAATTCAGAGAAAATTTCAAAAAACCTAGGTGGCAAATAGTCCACAGAACGCACTGGGGGGATTCAAGCCTTGTTAGTTAATGGTGCTTTTAGCATTTGCGTGTATTTTGCTGCCAGCAGACTTTATGGCATTCCTTTGTGCTATCTTTATGTTTGCTTTAAAGACCTGCATAATTAAACCTTAAAAGATGGAGAGAAGATCAGCATACTGATATAGCCCCTGCAGACGGCACTGGTTTAGAGCCATGGAAAAACCCTTGCAGACTCCCGGCATATTTAACTGCCCTTCCAAACATCTCTTCCTGTATCCCCTGAGAGGTTAGAAGATGACTAGGGAGTCTGGCATTAGGATGGTCATTTTGTAGACTGTCTATGCATGTAGACAAGTTTCCTGCCATGGAAGGCTGGATTCTGCTAGGCTAAAATCACCAATTTAGAGTTTCTATAGAGCCCTGGCCCAAAAGCTCCAGTTTCATTACAGTAACTCGCCTGGTTTTGGCCCCTTGGCACCTGGCAGAATGCAACAAGAAATGTTTTGATACTGGGCCACAGCAATATAATCCCAGCATGGTTTTGGAGATTCAGAGATTATAAACCCACAACATCCAGTCAGGCCATAAGGACTTCTCTGAATGACTCCTTGAACTGCACCACATCAACAAAAAGACACAAAAAAATGATCTTGATTTCAAAATCACCAGTCTCAGAGAATCTATCAGAGTCCTTGACCCCCACCCCACATTATCCTCATTTAAAATTATTATCCAAATTTAAAATTTGGTGCCCTATTTCTGGCCTAAAATTGTCTAGTATCAGCTTCCACAGAGCAGTGTTCCCCAACCTTTTAAGTAGCGACTAACTTCTGAAAATTGTAATAAATACCCCAACATTCAATTTTCCAGGGGATTTTACATGTACAGACTAATGTGTGCCGTATGTTGGAAGAAGGGCTGTGTATGTAAGGCTGTGATATGACAGATGTCTGAGCTGGTGTGGGTAGGGTTGCCACCTTTTACACCAGGGGTGCACAACTCAAGTATGTACCGGGGCTACAGGTGATGTCAGCCAAAGATAGGAGGGCTGAACACCAGATTATTACTGGGGAATTTCATTTTTTAAATTGCACTAATTTTTTTGCCATAGTTTTGAGAGGAAAAGAGGGCGAGAGAGAGAGTGTTGGGGTACCCGCGTACCCCCTGCCTGTGTCTCGTGTAGCCCCAGGGGCACGCGTACCACAGGTTGAGAAACTATGCCATAGAGGACCTTGAACAATGTCCTTGTAGTCAGCCCAGACATCTAGCATACTGTAGCTTGCTTGCAGAGACTCCAGGTGACCAATCTGCACACCAGAATCTCTGTACAAAGTGTGTGGATAACCAAGGGTTTGACCTTCTCAACACTGTGCATCTGGAAACATTCACAAATCACATGCCTGAGTTTTCTCTACCCCCTCTCCACAAGAAGGCAAGAGATTAAGTTTAAAAAAAAAATCATTTTTAAAAATAATAAATCAGCTGTCTTCTCATTTGCCTTTGGGTTTGTTTCTTTACTAGACAAGTTTCTACCGTTCAATGTTGCAGAGAAAAACTTAAAAATATACTATAAAAAACAAAGCACGGATTCTCTTGTGTTCCCATGATTCTAGGATCTGCAAACATAATAAAAGCAATTTTAATAAAATAAAAGTCATTTCAGAAAAAAAAACAAACACAAGCCACTGCTGATGTCCGTGGCACTGCATCTTTGCTGCTAGGGTAAGCCTGCCTCGGCCACAATCACACCTTCACTTAAAGTGTCCACACACCAGATGTGAGCGTATCATTCAAGATGCATTCACAACACAAGGTCCGTGCAAAAAACATCCAGAGTACAGTTCATCCCCATGCCGAGGACCAACTCAATGCCTATGCACTGCTTAAAGTGCACCACTTGCAGCCACTTAAACCCTTTTCTTAGGGCTGAAATGGTTCTGAAGACCTGGGACTGGCTCCTTTGTACAAATGATTATCAGTTATCTCTTAGGAGTGTAATTCAGCACTGTGCAAAGCTTGCCCATACCTGCCTGGCAGTGAGAAAGACCATCAAGTGAAAGGTTTAACGGGACTTCAGGGCAAATCACAATCAGGGTCCGTAGCAAGAACTTGCTTCCTTTCATCTAACCCTGCTTGACCACCGAACTATATTAATGCAACTGTATCAGATATATTCTGTACACCATTGGGCAGAGAAAGAACATTTTCAATGACACCGTGCTTCTCTTACCACCAGATATCTATCTTAACTGTGCTGTCGAGCAATTACCTGAGGCAGGCTATCATATTAAGGAATAAGCTCTCCATCCTTTCTAGGAACTGTCAGTCCCAAAGAGCAAAGACACACACTGTTAAACAATAATACCAGCCACGAATACAGCACAACCTTTCATGTTTGAACACCCGACCTTCGTACTCAAGGACGCACATCCTAATTGTGCAATAAATTGCATATTCTTCTGCAGCTACCTCAGATCCTTATACTTATTCAGAAGAGCAATGAGGGTCACCATGGATGTCATTCAAAGGGAACCAATTTCCCAAGCTTTATTCCACAAGTGCTTTATTAGTCTTACTTTGTTTGACATCTGACCTAAATATTTATTGTCTTGACAAGTACTGAGTTTGCCTAAACTGATGTTAGCTACCCTGAGCCACCAAAATACCAATTACAATTGCAATTCACTTCAAAAGGCTAAAACAGGCTCATTATCCCCAAGTCCCAAGGGAAGGAGTTATTAGTGCCTAAGAACTCAGGTTGCACAACACAAATGTCCAACGGCAACAACCAGGTAAATACCTCCCCATATGAAGAATGAAGAACCAAATTCAATGGGAACATTTATCTTTAGGGCCCTATTCGGAAAAAAAAAAAAAATTCCCTTATGAGAGTAATATCATAGCTGGGAGGCTGTCGTCTTGCAATGGGTGGAGGGAAGGTCACAAAGGCCCTGGAGGCTAAAGCCATGACAACTTCCTGACATGACAATGTGTTTTCATATGGTCATGAAGAAGGTGGCCTTGTGATTAAGGCAGTGGGCTAAGTCTTGGGCAAACTGAGTTCAATTCCTGGCTCTGCCATAGACTCCCTGGGCTGTCCATTCCCCGATCTCACCCTGCCAGGCAGTGTGTGTCAAAGCTGGCTGCACTATGCATGCACGAGATCTGGACTGGAAACAGTGTAGGCATGCTTACCCAGCGCTGCACCTAAGCAAATTAACTCTGCCTCTCAGCACAGGGAATCAGCTCACCTGCTCTGCCGGTGGCACACCGCATCCAGTTCAGGAGGCAGTACCTGCAGAGAAAGGCAGCGTGTTTCCATACACTGCTACCTGTCCTTGTACGTTAGCGATATGAATGTGCTCCGGGGGCTCATTTACTTTCTCTAAACCTCAGTATAATGGTGAACACCCTGTAGGGGTGTCTATGCACTTACTTAGGGATGCCAATAGTGACCAGACTGATTCCTAGCATGGCTCTACTGTTCCTCCTGTGCTTCACATGCAACCAATGCCAGCTAATATTGAGAGGGCCTTCAACAGATTACCTGGCCTGAGCTATTTAGGGCTACCAGAGGAGTCACCCTTAGATCTGCACGTTCCTGTCACAGCCAGCCTTACAACTCAGCAGTTCCAAGTTGTGCCCTCAGCGTGCTCACTCCCTACTGCATAAGATAAAGTGTTGAGGAAGACTATGCCTCCCTTTCCCATCATCCTTTCCAAGTGAATAATCAAGCTTCAGGTCAGCTATGCATACAGCACAGTACAGCTCAGTGCACAGTTCTATTAAATATGAAAATTGTAGTGATGCAGTCTGAAAGAAAGAAAAGAAAACCTATATGTTTGCTGAAACGAGGATGGGCAGCTGCAAAATTAAGATCCAGAGCTTCAGCCCAGGTGCACGTGGACCCAGGGTTTCCACGCAGGCCTGTTTTCACTGTAGAAGCACACATGCACCAAGAATTGTGTAGTCAACAACACATTTTAGAGATCACAGTAAGCCTTTTCATATCTCCAGAACTGTGAGTGGTGCTGGTGTCTGTCTTAATGAGCCTTACTGCCATTTTTGCTGTTACTTCTCAGCAGGGAAGTGAAGGCTGCTGACATGGTTTGTGACAGAGGAAGTACTAATCAGCAGAAATAATCAGCATGGGAGAAGCTGGCAATTGTCTCTGTAGTTTTAAAGCAGGATCTGTTATTTTCTCTAAGAATCAGCGTAGGAAAGATGTTTCCATGTTTGATCTTAAACCAATACTATAATTAACAAAATGCACGCGACTGATGCATTACAGAGCCTGCCTCAACACAGCACAGAGCATCGCCAGATGCTCTTTCACCTTCACCCGGTGCACGGTGCTTCCTTTGTCACCACGGAGATCAGCAGCCCGGCTTCTGGTTTCATCATTAGCCATTTCTCATATGTGTAACAGAGTTTCGGGGTCAGTGCCTGATTGCTGGGATCACACGCTCTCCAGACCTGCCCATGCAGGCCTGGGCAAGAAAATCCCCACTGGAAGCTTCAGGGGAGTAACTCTTTCCTCAGCAGCTGCCCTGCAGGAAAGGGGGGGAGCCTGAGACT